TCCCCAGCTCTGCCTGTCCCTCAATCCTGCCTGTCGCCAACCCTGCCAGTCCCCAGCTCTGCCTGTCTCTCAATCCTGCCTGTCCCCAACCCTGCGCTTCCCCAGCTCTGCCTGTCTCTCAATCCTGCCTGTCCCCAACCCTGCGCTTCCCCAGCTCTGCCTGTCCCTCAATCCTGCCTGTCCCCAACCCCGCCTGTCCCCAGCTCTGCCTGTCCCCAACCCTTCCCGTCCCCAGCTCTGCCCGTCCCCAGCTCTGCCTGTCCCTCAATCCTGCCTGTCCCCAACCCTGCCCTTCCCCAGCTCTGCCTGTCCCTCAATCCTGCCTGTCCCCAACCCTGCCAGTGCCCCCAGCCTTCCCTGCCACGCTCCCGCCTCTCTCCTGGGTCTATGATATAGTTTTTCCTTATTACAGAGATGTCATAAATAATTTAGCTCCGATAGGGGTTTGTTTCAGCACGCAGCCCCCCTCTGGCACGGCAAAGTCGCCCTCCTGGGGTTTCCCCCCGTCTTTTTCTCACACCTAGGTGGCTTTGGAGCAAGATGGGCTCTTGAAGTGCTGTTGTAAATGGTAGCAGCAAAAGATGATGCTAAAACATTTGTGTATCAGCCCTCAAATGCCTCATTTAGGAAAGTTAATGTTTGTAATTTGCTGTTACCTTTCCATTAATGCTAGTAAAACCGAATTTCTCACATCTACCTTTTCCGGTTTCCTCCTTGCAGTCAACAGTTCACAAAGTGAGAAATTCCACTCTTCCTTTTTCAGGAGGTTTTTCAGATTGAGCTGTCTGTGCATTGACTCACTCACTGAGAGAGGTTACTCTCTTGTTTCAGTTATGAAAGAGGTTCAGAAGAGTTGTAAGTACAAACTGTAACTTTCTGGAGTTTGAAAGACTACCTCTGTGTCTGCTTCCTGCTTGGCAAGACTTGCACAGTAAGTAAATATACGTTGTTTGAAATGAAGTTGGATTTTAATTTTTACCAATAACATGCAGTCCTGGCAGAATGGTGCTTGGACAAAACAGTTAAGGCAAGTGTTTACTAGATCCTTCTATTTTCTTCATGAATCCTACGCAAATTATGGCACTGTATGGTGATATTTGAAAAAGACTTAAATGCCACAAGATGCCATTCTTAAAGAGGTAGGATAGTGCTTTCCTACCTTGACGCCAAAATGTTTGTTGAAGCAGTCTGTTATTCAGAAGAATCCGTTGGTTTTAAAACAAGGAAGTCACAACACTTTGGGACCAAATTAAGGTTTCCGAAAGTGTTGATCAAAATGAGTTACTTGACCAAAATTGAGGGTCACTTTTATGTATCCTTCCCCTTTTATTGCAAAATCTTCTGGTGATTCTAGGAAAATTACGAATAATTATAATAATGCTTAAATACACACAGTTGGCTAGTTCATGAGGTATCCTTAATGCACTTTACAGAACTTAAACCTTCAGTTTGTTTAAAGATTTTTTTGGCTTCACAACAGCACAATGATTTTTAAAAACCATTTTTTATTATTAAAATGTCATCAGTAGCTTTAAGCATGTATGAAATTTAAAAAAACATGCTTAAAGCTATTACTGCTTTGGGCCTTACAGGCAACTGGGGTTTTTTGTTATCCTTTTTTCAGTGAAATGGTCATTCCCCACTATTGCCTTAGCATTTTGCCCATTGAGTATTTCTGTACTCATTTATTAGGCAGAGCATCTTTGCCTTTACTTTAAAATAACTCTCAATTTCTTTCTGAAAATTAAAAATCTTATTCTGTTCCTGAGGAATGTCTTTATATTAGTTGATTTTCACTAAAAGCATTTATCTATCTTTTCCCCTCTTTTCCCCCCTCCCACCATTTCATCAGAGTACTGCAAACTGTATGGCTCAAATGTAAATACTGTTAGCCTAGAGCAGAACATTTTCAGACAAAATGATCAGGTTCAACAGCAATGTGAGATTAAGGACCTGTGTTTTTCTTGTTAATAGTAGCCAGTAATCTCAAACCTAATTATTACTAAGTAGCTTGCATTATACTGTGTTCTTTAATCCCTGTTGAAATAGTGAAGGGCTCTGCTCTGCATTCAGCAAAACTTCCACTGTGTGCTGATGTGATGTGCCAACAAAGAATGGGATTTAGAATTAAAAATCTGTTGATAAATTATTTTATCTTTATGTAGTGGATCATAGTTTCATGGTCTGTAACAGCTGTATTTCTTCTGGATGTGGTAGGGTGAAAAATTAAAAGTAAATACAAGAAATGAAAATAGAGAGGCCCTTCTTTCCTTTTAAAGTGTAGCAGTTTGAATCTCCATGTGTAGAAGGGAAATGAAACCAGGTCTGATGAGTTAATTCTATGACCCTTCAAAGTTGCTTGTTGCAGTACTCAGCGTCCAGCTTCTTCTAGCTGCTTTCTAAATGTGGATTTGCCTACCAGTCAGTTTGAAAAAACGGATATTAAACACTTCTTTCATCTCCTTTCAGTGATCTATGGGATGACGGCTTACTTGTAAAGGACTGGGGAGAACAATAAGAGAGCAGCTACAGAGTTTGATGTCATTCTGGAATATTGCGGGAAATGCAGTAGTCTGTCTCTGACCGCTTTATATCACGGTAAGTATGTGAAACCAAAGAAATGGAATGCTAATGAGATTTCTTCTGTCAGTACTCAGTGCTCTCTGTGTGTGTGTGTGTGTGTGTGTGTGTGTTGCCTTTGGTTGTCGGTTAACCCAGGAATCCTAGAGAAGATACACAGCACTGGTATTGTAGTGGTGTTTGCCTTTGAAAGCGCAGTTAACTACATATGAATCAATTGAATACCAACTTCTTCATCTCCTTCCCCTCAATGGAAAGGTTAGCATTCTCAGCTGGTGCTTCTTGGTTCCATACATGAAATTGTAAGGCAAAATTGTAGATCTGATTGTTTTCCAACAGGCTCAAAATTAACCATCAAGATGTCCAATCTATCAACATTATGCTGTTCTCATTGAAGGCAGGGGAAGTTTCTCATAGCTGTTTCTACAAGTTCCAGTCTTGCAAAGTTTATACTCATTGTGGAGAAAAAAAAAAAGCACTCCCCTGTCCTATGATAGTTGTCTATTGGCTTAGGGATCTAAGTTTGAGTGCATCTGTAGGATTGTCAGTTTAATCAGAAATGTGAAATACATCAAGTGAACAAGAAAATGGAGGAAGAAAACCTTGTAGTGCTTTCTGAATTTACAGTAAACTTGCCAAGAGAAATCTAGATACATCACTTGATGTATGAAGACAGCTGTTATGATAAATATGTGTAACTTTCCATTTGGAAAGCCCTCTTCAGTACCAGGCAGTAGTTAGGTGCTGAAATGAATCTGTTCACTGCACTTGTGATGAATTGTGAATCTGTTTTTCTTAGGCTTTCAGAGCAAGCAAGAACAATTCAGTTTCATTTTTCTGGAGAAGAAGTGAGAAGTAACTGAAGAAAATGACTCTGATTATTTTTTTTCTAATGTTTATCACTGAATCTGCCACTGGTAAGTATAAATCTTCAATAGTAGAACCTTCAAAATATGGACATGTGGCATCTTCTTGACAGTTGCTTAGAGTGGGGCAAGTTTTGTGTTTTGCAGCTGAGATCAAAATCTTAAAATGTTTTGGCAATTTCAGCCCAGCTCCAGACTGGTCCAAAATACCAAAATGATGAAATAAGTAGTGCAGAGATGCTACCAGGAGACATCTGATGATTTGTATGAGAGCATGGCTGTATGAAGAGCCACAGCAAGAAAGAGAATGAGTCTGATTTTTGTGCCATTCAGAAGTATGGTCACAATAGTTGCTAAACAGTAGTAATTTCAGGAGAAATAGAGAATGAAGGCTTATTTTATTCTTGACTGTTAATGCTAGACCATGGTCCCTTTTCTGTATTTTTTATGACTTCTGTATGCAAAGGTACATTTGAGAAATTTGATTGGAAAATCATACTTTGAGACTAAATTTTACACACATAGTCTCATTCCAAGGCAACTTTCCTAAGATATCTGAAGTTTTAAAGAAATATAACTACATAATGATTTAGTTTTAAATAAGAAGATTAAGAAAATGCAAATGTTAATTCATAGGATCTCTGCTTTTATGGCAGTTGACTGGTCCTGAGGATTAGCCATATTTGTCAAGTCAAACCGTATGTGAAGAATTTCTCCTTTCCTGTTTCATTTGTGGCAGCTGCTTTAATGTAGAGTGAGGTCAGATTCTGCCATTTGTACCCATTTGATTCTGATACTGTTGGACCCACATGAAAGGATCTTAGGGAAATTTCCTTATTTTTAACCCTCCTTTTCCTTCTGGTTTCGTTTGGGTGAGGTAGAATAAAGACTTGGAAAACTGAGTTTTCCAGTAACTATTGCTGCAATAAATACTCCGAAACCACTCTGCTGAAAGTTGCTTTATAAAAGACGAGCAGCACAGCAAATCACTTTAAAGTCAGGCTAATGTAATTTTCTGAAAGAAGCTTCCTAATGTATCTCTTTTCCTCTTTCTCTGAAGAGAAGCTGTGTCCTCTTCGTGCCTCCATTGATGTGTTAGAAGGGGAATATTTTTTCCTTTGTTATCTTGAGTCAATGCAAGAACATTTTCAGGAAGAAGCATACTCAATAAACTGGTACAAAGAAAATGCTGGCAAGCAGCAACTGATAAAGGAAACACAGAGAATTGTTTCCCAAATGAATTTTCTGGAGTTTTGGCCAGCTGAGCTCAGTGACTCTGGGAATTACTCTGTCACTCACAGGTGGGTACATAAGCCAGTGGGTGAACATCTTGCCTTTGCACTTGTCTATGCAGAAGCTAATTTCTTTGTCTTTGGTTTGCGAGTGGCATCTGTACAAAGAAGGTGCAGGGAACTACATTAACTGTGGTGTCATTTTCCACCTCGTTTCACAATAACCATCCAGGCAGACCTATAATATTTACAAATAATTATAGACAGTTTCAGCCTTTTAAAGGTTCTGTAAACCTTTTGATAAGGCAGGTAGCATTTCTGCTGGTTTGTGATTAATTACATAAGCAAAAATGAGTGATAGGCAACCCTTCTGTCCACTGCCAAGTACAAGAAAACATTTGCTTGTCTTCTCCACCAGACTTGTTCTTCCTTACTGTGTTGAGTGGATCTCATGGTATGAGGCCTGCCAAGTGTCTAATTGTAAAGTAGTAAAGAGTGGCATGGCTGAACTCTGGTTTCTGTGCAAACCTCTGCATGCTTGGAGCCATTCAAAGAACAAATGAAATAATTGGATTTGATTTCTTACCACTGTAGAACTTCGTGAGTCAAAAGGAGAAGTAAGTGTGGGCCTCATTTGGTGGTAATCTTTGTTAGGCCACCATGAAAAACTGAAGGACTAAAAGGTTTGCTGCATGGAGTACTTATGACTAACTTGTACCAAAACTGTAATTCAGCATTTACAGTTGAAGCAATAATTAATTTTAAGCAGATTATTTTGCATGTAATGATTTGTGCTGTTCTCCAGATAATATTTTTAAGGTTCTTGCCTGGTTTGTAGAGGTTATGAGACTGCAGATACTGAAAAATGCTCTCTACGTTTTTTCAGTAACACTGCAGACACAAGTTCAATAGTTTGCAGTTTTAAGCTAGACTTCAATTGTTAACTTCCAAGATAACTTGAAAACTGAAAACTTCATGGTTTATTTTTCCATTTAGCATTATCATTATCATCTTACTGCTATTATTTTAGAAAGTACTGAGTCACAGTATCTAAATGCTAAATATTAAAAATGAAAAGTCTACTGGTAGAATATTTCTTTTGGGTTTATGTGATTTCTTTTTAATTGCAAGATATTCTTTATCCAAATAGTCGATAAAGATTGAGACAAACTTTACTCATGTATGTTGAACCCAAACTGAAGAGAATTATCTTTAGGTATGATGGGTATGGTAGTTTGGCTACTTTGCTGTGCAAAGTCATGCAGAGGTGGTGCATTATTGAGTACAGATGTTCTTCTGAAGTAGCACAGGTGAAGCCAGCTGCTCGGTTTTGGTGTGTAGGGGTTAACATTACGTAATACCTGACGTAGGCTTGCCTCTTGTCATGAACCTGTACTTTTCATATCAAGTCTGAATTTGACTTTAAGTTTTGGCTTTATTGATGCCCTTGCTCAGTCATCTATACAGTCATTTCACTAAATATGGTGCTAAAAAGTTATTAAATCTAACAACTCACTCTACTGCCAGCATCTAACCAGTGGTATAAAATGCGTGCTCTGACTCACTTTGGCATGGGGAAGGATAGGCAGGGAGCATACCTACATCACCAGGCTACTGAGGGAGGTTGTTATAAGGAGTCTAGAATAAAGGACAAAAGAGAAGAAAGCTGTATTAACCCCAGCCGTAATTCATGATCCCCATGGCTTTGTGATTAGACTTGGAGTAATGACAGTGAATCCACAGTAAATTACAAGAACTCTGTAAAATGAATATGAAAAAAATGTAAATTTCAAAACTGAGATATAGAAGAAGAACTTAAATAAAACTATTAGGATGAAGTTTGTTAATATATATGTGTTGGAAAACACAAAAACTCCGAGTCCTTTGTGAAACATCTTCACTTGCTGATTTGTTTAAGCAAGAAACTAGGAAGAAAGGTTTTGATTACATTAAAGCATTCATTTGTAATTAAGAGATTTGATTTTCTGCTTTTTTGTTTAATTTTCTAGGACTATATTGTGCTGCTACATTTTAAAACTCAGTTTTAAAAGAAAGCATTTTAAAGTTTCTTAATTAAAAGTGTATTTGACCACTCTGAAAAAAACTTTTTTGTTTGGTTTTTGGTGTTGTGGGTTGTTTTGGTTTTTTTTTTTTGGTTTGTTTGTTTTCTTTTTCCCCAAAAAAATTTCTTTCTGTTGGGCCCATACAGCTACTCATTTTTTCTGTTAGGATCAGAATCAAGGCACTTGCCAGAATCTTGCAATCCCCATGTGGAACTCTTCGCAGGTCTTACCACTGAAACAATAGCCATTAGGGGATTTTTTTCATGGGATTTTAACATGATTTTGGGCTTAGTTTATATGATTGTTCTCACTATTAGCAAGCATATTAAAGCAGTTACACCAGCAAATACAGAAGATTTTTTTGCAGAAGTGGTTTTCTGCAGAGACAGAGGATTTAGTAGCCTCTATTGATAAGGAAAAATGGTGGGCTATTGTGGACTACTGAATTGGTTTAAGATTTAGTAGGAATTACAAATAGAATTAGTTTCATTTCAGAGCATTTATAGTAAAGTTTTGGTTTTGAAGGCAGACATTCTATTTTTCTTTATCTTTTTTTTTTTTTTTTGCAACCATTAATTTAGAGATGGATATTTGTAAGCTATATGGGAAATTATTTTTAGAGTGCTTATAACTTCTTAGGCAGTTTTAGTGAATAAAGTGACAAATGTACTGCAGATTTTTAAGAAAAGACAACACATGTTGACAGATTTTGCGAATTAAATTCAGGCATTTTTTTGGTGATATGTTACAGCTGACAATAGGCAAGATGTGAGAGGTGAAAATGATGTAGCAATGTATTTATGGTGTATTATCCATGTATATTTGACTTAAAGAAGAATCAGAAGTTTTCCAGTTAAAGAAGTGTCCTGCTGAGACATAGCATAGATAGCTAAAGTGTGTGTGTGTGTGTTGATGTCTTCACATGTGTTTGTTAGTATAGTACACTTAGGATATAAATTCAGGAAATAATAGATGTTACCTGTAAGCCTGAGTGTGTCCATCTTCAGCAACATTTCTTGAAAATAAAGGATTTCATATACACTTGTAGTGGGAGTGGTAGGCAGAAAAATTATCACACATCTTTGGCAGGTTTTCTAATCGGTATGTTTTTTCGTAGCCTATATCCTGTGGTTATCAAAACAAAAAACAGAATACAAAAAAGCAGGTTATCTGGTTGCTTTGTGTTGGTGACCTTGAAACTGAAGAAACTTACAGGTTCCTGAAAAAAGCGAAAGTACAGAGATCCATGATAAACATGTGATACATTTTAAGATCCTAATACTACTCACTTTTTCAATGTGTTTAGAACAGTTGAAAGCAGTGGGAACACGCACGTTTAGAGTTAATATAGTTTGGAAGACAGAGTGACAGTTTCTAGCAGTTGATGGAACTACTGAGATAACACTGTGTTGTGGTTTAACCCCAACTGGCAACTAATCACTATGCAGCTGCTTGCTCACTCCTTTCCCCCCCTGCCCCGAGTGGGATGGTGAGGACAATCGGAAAGAAAAAAAAGGTGAAACTCTTTAATAATTGAAATAAAATAAAAATTATAAGAATAAAAGGAAGATAGCAAAAAAGAGAGAGAAATAAACCCCAAGACAGGTGATGCACAGTGCAATTGCTCACCACCCCCTGACCAATGCTCAGCCAGTCCCTGAGCAGTCATCCCCACTCCCACCAACTCCCCCCAGTTTATATACTGGGCATCATGTCATATAGTATGGAATATTCCTTTGGCCAGTTGCTGTCAGCTGTCCTGGCTGTGCCCCACCGGTTTTCTTGCTGTTAGGGCATAAGAAGCTGAAAAATCCTTTATTTGGGATAAGCACTACTTAGCAACTAAAGCTATTATCAACTTTATTCTCATACTAAATCCAAAACATAACACTATACCAGCTACTAGGAAGAAAATTATCTCTATCCCAGCTGAAACCAGGATACACTGGCTTGTTGTGGTGAAATAGCTAAGGGATAACTTAGAGTTGGCTATGTATCCAGTAAACTTGGTTTATATTCTCTAAGGGCTTTCACTTCCTTGTAACCTCTCATGAGTCGATCTAGTTTTTCTTATTCTTTCTTGGTGGGTTTGGTGGGAGTAGTTGAAAGGCTGTTAAGCCAGAAATGGTTTTGTTCCTCACAAATTATCACTAAAGAATCTCAGCAAGTGAAAAACAGGATAGAAATATCACAGCTCAGGCATTAGCAGTTTAAACAATACAACTTAATGCGTTTTTTTGTTGAAAATCATGTATATGGCAGCCAACTAGAAATTATGTAAGCCAAATTCATCTTAATTTGCCTAGGTATGGTTTTATCACCTTCCAGGGAGCTGGTCCTTGCCAGATTTTGGCTCATTAGGTAGAGTATCTTGATCTGCTTGAGGTGAAATCCTTATATTTGTTGAAGTGATTTCACCTAATGTGATCACAGAAGAAGACTTTTGTAAAGTGACAGTGCTGAGGAGAACATTTATTTTTTTTCATTTACTGATCCTTTTCTTCCATCTGATGAATCTGGATAGTAAAATCATAAGTATTTATGGTTAGATCTGTAACTATCTCTCCAGCAGTATTCAGATACTAGTGTGATGCCTAAAAAACCACACAAACTTGGTGGAATTAATTGAAACGAGTGTTTATGTCTACATCTAAACTTATCAGGTACTTTTATTGTTAGGGAGGGAGAGAGGCCCTTCTGAGGCATAGATTATCTTGTCCTAAACCAAACAGATAAAATAGGTCACGTAAATTGCAGTCTAAAAGGGTGGCTCTTGCCTGTGGTCCCACTGCTGACTGCGATTAGTAGCTCTGATTTAAATGTGTAAATGTGAGGTTGAAGAATAGGAGGACTCCACCCACTATGAATACCCATGAGAGTACACCTCTGATGGAGAAGTTTTAGTAAGTTTTTTCCTGTTTATGACACCATAGTTAACCAATTGAGAAACCAAACCACTATGTTTTGATTTAGATAGTAAACTGCGATTATGAGTAATTATTATCTTGAGTAAGGAGAACAAGGAGAACCTGTGTAGACTGAAAAAAAGGCTAAAATGTGAAGAGGGTAAGCAAAATACATAAATATATCTGTCTGGGGAGCTTAAAGGGGGGGAAAAAACCAACAAACCAAAACCTGTTCTAAATTAATCATGTAAATGATGTCCTAATAGTTCTTCTGAACCTTGTAACAGTAAAAGGCATATCAGTCAAGAATGGTATTTAAGCTGATACACTTGTCAGGCTTGCTTCTCCATTTCAACTGCTTTATCCCCTTAGCCCTTCTCATCAAGATGATTCTTGACTAGTTTCAGTTCTCCTGGGAATGATTCCTTTTTCTTTTCTTGGAAACAGAAAGATATTTTTGAAGATGTGACTGACATTGGAGGGAAGTGCTCTGTAATTGCTGCTTTTACTTTGTCAGACCTTACTAGTTCAGTAAAAAATGAGAGGTTTGTGCACTAATTGTAAAATCTCACCTATTAATTTACAGCAGCATACAACTTTCTCTTAAGCCCTAACTTTGCCAAAGTTAGGCCAACTTTGCCAAGCTTAAGCCTAAGGCTCTCCAGCTTCTTTTCCTGTGGTAGTCATGTATTTGGACATATCGAGCAATGAAATAGCTCACAGCTATAACCTGATTCTTTAGAGAAATATGTAGATAGAATATAGTAGATATCTGAATGACAATGGTCAGCTCCTAGATATTCAAAAGAAGCATTTTTAGAGCATATTCACCTGATCTTTTATAGATACTGCATGGGATGTGATGACTCTGCTTTAGAAGTGGTAGTTCCTGGCTCTTCCAGTCTGGGCTGGCCAGCTGCTGTGGATCTCTGATGAGTTCAGACTGAAAGACAAAGAAATTAATCCTTCCCAAAAGGCTTTGTTTGCAGACATGCTTGAATCCATAAGTGATTCTGTAATTCATGATACTTGCATGGTTTAAAAATATTTCCAAAATAGCAGTGACTATCTGCACAGTATCAAGCAGTGAATAATGTTGCTTTGTGAACAATAGCGAAGTTGCCCACCTTATTTTCGACATATTTTACAAATACGTTTTTCAGTTACTGCTTTAAACCTTAGCAATGCATAGGAGATTAAACCTGCAAAATCACTAGCTGATTCAGGGTCCTAAAACTCTTTTATGCAAACAAGTAACTATACATGATGCCATGGATTATTGCATCCTTGTGATCACCATAGCATATATTGTCATATTTCATAAATACAATTATATTGTGAAATGTTTTGTGATAGATGATTTAGTTGGGATAACCTCTTTTTTTAGTGGGAAATAACACATATTTGGGGGTGGAAAAGGGGCATTTAAATAATTAGTTCACTGGAGATACACTTTTTACCTACCAGATATATTAGAGAATTTTTTTTGTATTTTGTTGTGTAACTCACCAAGCTATGTTCCTTTAAAAAGCTCCTAAAACTGATTTTGCTAATTTTTTTTTTTTTCATAGCAATGGAAAACAAAATTTCACAGTTCAGAAGTGGACCTTGAATGTACTTGAAAGAAATAAAAGCAGCTGTTTCAACAAAAATCATTTAACTACAGAAATTAAAAATGCTGGAACTGGTCATTCACTGAAATGCAATGATTTGTCTGTCAATGAAAATGACAGTATAACATGGTACAAGGTAATTACTGAAACAGTAACACTCATCATTTGCTATAGAAACAAAACATCTGATTGCGGGAAAAATTAATTACAAACAAATTTTTAGAAACATCTACAAACCTTGTAAGGCTTTAATTTCTCAAGTTATTAGGGGAAAAAACCTTTAGACAGATATACAAAATAAAGTTTTTCTCTGCTCTCAGATTTGTTAGAAAAATATACCTGTAATCAGAAATTATTAATAAACTGGTAGCTTGGAATGGTAAAATATCTGATGCACATATCTGCTGATTTAGCCAGCAGCTGGTTTAGCCAGCTGCAATTTTTCTGATACAGATATTATCCTGACACTAAATGAGGTGCCAAGGTATTTGTTTTACAGTTGGCATGTGCTTGTAAAGTATTTGCAAACTTTTCAATTTTGCTGTTTCTGAACACTTTTTACAAAATGTGTAACAGATCTAGTTCTATTAATTTTAGGCGAATCATTGGTCTTCTCTCTACCAGCTTTTGTCAGATCATAGATGATAGTTGTGAAGCACCTCTAACTGTTGGGTGTTGTGCTCAACCATTGAATGGAGCACCCTGATTAGGTTTCTGCCACCCTGTCCCTATGCATCGCCTTGAGCAGTGCTCCTTATTTCTCTCAGGTGTCCTGGCTGGAGTAACAGACCCTGTTCACTCCATGTCGAAACACTTTCAGAAAGGGAACTTGGCCGCTTAACTGTTGGCATATGGATTCTGCCTGACAGAATGAGCCACGGCCCTGCTTTCTTGTCCTTTGGGGCCTGGGAGGATAGGGCCATTGATGGGTAGGGCCATAGGTAGATATGTTTTCCTCAGAAAAGTACTATACCCCAGACTGACCTCTCTCATAGCTAAACGGAGTATACTGATGACTAGTATTTTAATGCCCAATACTGTGTGAGACAGATGAAGCAGCCTTCCTTGTGTCTAAATATCTTTTGGTGCTCAACTGGGTGAAAATTTTCAAAGCCTTCCTATCACACCCTACGCTGAGGTAAAACAGTGATAGTCACACATGCCTTGTGTATAAGAGCCTGGTAGTAAGCATATGCATCCAAGAAATGTCTGTTCCCTGGACAATTTCCAGCAGTGATCATTTACCTTCTTGATCTAAGGTAATTCAGATGAGAACCAAATACTGGTGTGTTGTCACAGGACACTTCACTTACAGGACATTTCACTTAGCGTGTGCTATAAATTCAAAAACCCCAGCAAATCAGAGTTTGTTTCGGGGGATAGGGAGGGTAAACAAATGTGAGTCCAACTCTTATCACCCTCTGAGAATTAGCAGTTTCTATATTGTTGAGGCATTTTGCTCTAGCATGATAGCTCCTTATAAGTCCAGACAACTTTTGGCCACAAGCAGGTGACCCCTACAGACCAATTGGAAAAAAATAGATGAATGCATTTGAATTCCTGATACAATATTTTTATACTCAGGTGCTTACTTGGAATTGCAGTGGTGTCAACTTCTAAGGGGTTAAACATTCAAATCTCACATTTAAATGACCATGACAGAAAATTGAGTCCCCACCTCTTTTGGGTCAGATAAATGTCATTGAGATAGCGAAAGAGTGATAGTGACACTTCATTTCAAAATTAATTTTTAACTGCTTTAAGATTTTGAATGTATGTTTGCTACAGAATAGAATTTTCTGTCTTTATTGATGCAGGACTGTAAGAACTATGAAAATGAAACAGAGCGGGAACTGGATTTTAAAACCTTAACAGTACAGCACTCTGGGATATATACCTGTAAAATTTTAATCAGTCATGAAGGAAAGATATATCACAGCACAAATACAATTAAGCTGGTAGTAGAAGATGGTAAGAAAGCTTTCTAAAATTTTGAAGCATGCTTTTTGGTTCTCTTTACTATGGAGATTTTTAATTACAGTTCTCATTTGATAAATATATACAAGGGTGAACAAATCTGATAATCTGAACTATTTCACAATAATTTCAAAAATAAAAAAGCCGATGAAGATGTTTAAATGATGTATTACCAATTTTGGAAAATTTATTTAGCATGTTTTCTCTAAAGAATTTTTTTTTTTCAAAATTTGCTGCTCTAAGAAAGTCATACAGACTTACTGAGAATTAAGGGGAAGAGCCTTTCCAACCATTGTAAACTGTACTGAATATATATGCACATGAGAAAAATTCAAGAGGACATACTGTGTTTTAAACTACTCAGTAACGCCAGAGTCCAGATACTGTTCCTTGAATTAAATGGACTGTACATGATTAGCTTTGGAAATGAAGCAAATGTGTAATTTTTACTGTGGTAGAATGTAAGTAAGCTATTACTTCAATAGCTATGCTTCTTTGTATTTTAGATGCACCAGAGACTGTAACTTTGGAGATAGTTGGACGTGATGAAGAAATTGAAACAGAAATGGGTATGAAATGATATGCTTTTGTTTTGGTCTCTTTATGGTTGATGGTCTGGTTAAATGTAATCACTGTCTGTGCACCCTACTGGATCTGATCCATCCTCACATCTGGTTATGGTCTACTTAGTATATTCTATGATTGATATACAGGTACACTAAATGTACCCTTTTACAGATGCAGAAGCAGAGGTTGCTGCTATGACCAGCAAAAGAAAGTGGTGCTGATAATAAACCATCTCTACATGGCTTGCTTTGCTAGATAGCAAGCCCCACGGAGTGATGTGTGAAAGATGTCTGGTTTGTTCAGTGAACAGCAATGATGACGACCAACCTGATGCAGTTGAGGATTATTCTGAGAGGAAATGAGAAGTGTGAGGGCTGACAGTCCTACAGTCCTGGCAATGCAAGCATGAAGATCTGTCACTACTACAAAGAATTGGTTTTATTGTCAATAGCCAAGACCTTAACTGTGCTTCTAGCTGGGAGCAGGTTAGATAACATGGTCTGCAGGCTTCACGCAGTGTTGGACAGGATCCAGGATTTCATGATTGAGGCTGTAATTAATTTATATAAACAGAAATTTACCTTTTTTCTCTGCTGTGCCTGAGGGTTTCTTAATTTGGTTACCTAGTCCTTCCTTTCCAAGTCTGAAAAATCATATTTACCTCCTCTGTTGCTCATGTATATCTCATTTGCTCAGCTAATTTTCCTTCCTTCCTACCAATATCAGTTGCTGTGTCCTTTTTCCAATGGTAGTACCTCAATCCTATGATGCCTCATGTCTCCCAGCCTCTCAGTACACCCTTCCTGCACAGTTCTTCCCACTTGCTGTGCTTGTCCCAACCCTTCAAATCTAGCAGGGTTCAGCATTAAATGATTATGAGCCACCTGTCTTCCATCCCTTATCTGTCTTGATAAGATCATTTGATAAGGTCATTGAATTACCTGCTGAGTGATGAAACATCTGACATGGTGGAGAGTGAAGGGAATTTTGGGTGAACTAGTTTCCATGGTCTTTCAAATCTGTCATTGTTTAGATGATGTTCTGTAATATTTCCCCAAAAGTAGCTGTTGTGTATAGTGAAAAAGCTAGAGTTGCAGGTAGATAATACTAGAATTTTAAGTCTCTGTTTCAGTCTTTGCAACTGTGATTTGGATTTCTAAGGTCCAAAGCTAAGATGGACAGATATTCAGCCGAATCCTACTTTAAAGGTTCTTAAGCAATTCCACTGGAAACATCCACTCTGATAAATCTTGAAAAGTCAGTTTATAATGTATGCCCTTAGAGAGAATTCCTGGGCAGGCCTTTCTTACTGGAAAACATTTGTACATGATGGCCTGAACAAGAACTAACATGCATCTTTTGTGGCTTAATAAAGGGTGTTCTGGATGTATTTCCTGGAAATGATACTGGCATAGCCTAGAAATCGTGGTGTTGCGGCTAATCTCAGGTCAAGCTTCCCATGTTTAAAATATGTTTAAAATAAAATGCCTTGCAAATCATCAAATCTCACACTCCAGATCTTCAGCCTTCTGCTTTTATTTTCCCAAGTGTACACTTTTCTGTTTAGTTCTGCTTTCTTATAATTAACTGGACTCTATGGGGTGGTTCCTGTCACTTCCAATTAGTGCTTTGAAATGGTACAAAGTAGCTGACTAAGTGACTTGTTCACATACTCACAGTTATGCTGATTTCCAGGTGTGGTGCTGGAATGACAATTTCTTCAGTGAGACTTCAGCAGTGTCTCAAACAGGTTTTAGCTCTGTTGAGTAATAGTGTGTAGTTTATCTATTATAATCAATTGGTTGTAGTTCCCCTTACCAGTTAATTCCTTTTACCTGGCATTGGAGCACTGATTATAGGTTGTTCTCTCCTGTTCTCAGCCTGAAGAACACAGTCCAGTTCCCAGAATCATTGAGTATCTCGAGTTGAAAGGGACCCACAAGAATCATTGAATCCAAGTCCCTTTAGTTCTATAAAGACTGAAGTTCTCTGGACTACTTAAACTCTTCTGCGTGTGACAGTTTATCTGAGAGAAAGCAGTGGATGACTGTTTGTCTGCAATAGGGCACAACAGAGCCCTGTGCATGGTTGCTGAAGCCACCACCAGTGCAGGTGGAACACCTATGAAACATCATGCAGGGGCTAAGAAGTCCAGAAAGGAGCACAGCTCATGGGATACATTGCCTGGAAAGTTGACATTTTACTGCATTGTGAACATGAATGCTTCTTCTGACTAGATCTTCTCATGTTATGCTTTGTTTAGGTAAAGAAGAGATACTCAATTGCACAGGTTTCTTGGGTTACTATATGAGAGAAGATGTCAGCCTCTACTGGTTAATTAATCAAACGTTTCCAGAAAAATGTACAGGTATCCCCAAGAATGAACCTTCAATTTGTGAAGAAGAGTTTAAAAAATTACAGTAGGTTTCCTGAAAGTACTGCACTTTTATTTGTATGTGATAATGTCCTGCACTTTGTGGAACTGCAAATTCAGTAAAACCTCAGCCTGAGGTTTAGAACCTTTTCCTCAAAATCTGCCTCTCAGCTAGTTGTAGGTTTCTGTATAGTGTTGCTAACAACATTCTTCTTTATAGGTTGGGAAACAAGTTCTACATCACAAGGCTACTACGGATTAAAAAAGTAACAGATGAGGACATGCATCATAATTTCACCTGCATGTTGCAAGCTGATGAAAGAACACTAATGAAAATAGTGAAACTGAAGAAAGGTATGGTATAATCTATGAATCATACTCCTCAGATGTAATTATTAATCATGCCAGCCTTCTTAATCCTGAGGGCAGAGTACTGATTTCATAACATCTCTCCAAATATGTCAGTCTGTTTATGAAGGCCCTGGTCCATCTAGTGCTGGACCTACCAACCCCCTGGGTGGTTCCTCCTGCTCTGAGACAGGGGCAGCAGGGATTGCTGCTGTGTCTGCTAGAGAAGCTGTATGAGGGCTCCATAGTTCAACCACTGCTGCTGTGGACACAGTTGGGGAGGCTGAGCTATGCTCTGGCTGACAGGTCCCTGGGAGGCACTTCGTTAGATCCCACAACAGAGTGTTCCCTGTGCCCTCCTACTCATCAGATTGGTGGGATCACAGGGCTTAACTACCCAAAGCTTGGTGCAGTCCAGTGTCTGCTGTTTGAATAATGCCTGAAACATTCTGGCCAGTGGTTGGTCTCTTGTCAGGGACTCGGTCCTCCTAGCTATGGAAAGGTGACTTCTACCATATAGTGGTACTTTACATTTATAGTCCAGACAGTCTGGAGATTCATGGCAAATGATCATTCCCTTCTTGTTTTCCATCTCCCTCAGACCTTTCCAAGCCTTACTGGAAGGAAACATGTGAAAGTAGACTAGTAAAAAGATGATGCATATAATGAAGCAAATGAAATAAAGACTACAATGAGCATAACTTGACAGTACCTTCATAAACACTTCAAAAATATTTAAGGGTTAAAAATTGTATTTGGAACTAAAAAGACAAAGATAACAAAATTATAATTAAGGGTTTAAAAAGAGCCTGAAAGAGACTAGAGCTAGAAGAAAGAAAAAGAAAAGATCTTGGCTAAAGATATTAAAGTGGACATTAAGGACTGTTACGGATTGACTGAGAGAAAGGTAAAAGGTAGAGAATAACAGGAAATAATAAAGAACCTGAAGAAAGCTCATCATAAAAGTGGGTGACCACCAGTTTGAGATGCTGTAGATCTATGAGGATCTCTAGTGTCAGTCTTGATCCCACAAACAGTTAATTTATGTGTGTGGAGGGTTTGTGAATGTGTGCAAGATTGTTTCTCCAGTTTTTAGAGTAATCCATGTTCTGTCGTTCTCCATCTCAGGACAAATGCAATGTATATGTGCTTGAAGTATTATCAGGACAGGATTCACATCAACATAGTGATTTTTTAGTGGGATTTGAAGATGCCATCATTACTGAATGCATTAATCTTGTCATATAATATTCCTTGTTAAGGCTATAATTTCCTGGACTTCTATTTTACAGGGAACACCAGAGATCTGCCTGTGCACATATTTACAACTGGAATGGTCCTTGCTGTACTATTTCCATGTGCTGCTGTAGCTGCGGTGTTTGTCTGTGTGATGTTTAGAGTTGACTTAGTTCTATTTTACAGGAACATATGCAGAAGAGACGACACTGCTGGAGGTATGATTTGGCTAATGCTGACATTGAAATAAGTGTATTGATTAAAAAATAGTTTATGATAGATTCTATAAAACAATAATCTTTTAGGAAGAGACAAAATAAATCCGGGAGTTTTGTGAATAGAGACAGCAAAGTGTATTTAAAAGACAACTTGATGTTCAGGTGGTAAAGTGAGTTTGTTACATACCTGGGTCAGTAACAGCAGATAAACACAGTGAAGAAGCTGCCTCTGGAGCAGGTAGGGGAAGGGACATGGTTAGATGCTGTTCAGATGTGCTCTGTTCTGCCATATTCTTCATCACAAAAGTTGATGAAGGTGGAGAAGTTTACAGTTATCTATCTGTAGAGACAATGAGCACTCTGGAGTTGTCAGACAGGCAGATTGACAGAAACTTGTTTTCATGTCACTGATGCACTTCAGTGAGGTGAAGGTTAAAATGCTTCCTTGACTGTAGAGGCCATTGCAATGTTTATAGGTTTGTCCCTAACTGCACTTAAGGAGAACACACTACCAGTATCTTACCCAGCAGTATCGCTGTGACCTTCACTTAACGAGCAAGCCCGACACCCAATTCTGGGTATAATTTTTCTGAAAATCATGGTGAAAAAACTTGTTGTATATATGTACCTGATTTTCTTAGCCCTTCTTAGTGTCTAAATCAGATTGAATATAGCTTGAATAAATTGCAGTGGTTGCAGATTTCTCACTAATGAGTGTATGTAATTTATGCCTGCCAGCATTATTTATCCTGTCTGTTGATGTTAACTATTACTGGCTTACAGGGAGGATTTCCAGGAACATGGCCTAGCCCACCCTGGAGGAACTGATTGTCTGATACCAGGCAATGGATTTTCTACTCCTAGAGCTCTTGCATGTGTAGAGTTTCATGGGCTGTAGTTTGTGCTCTCTCTTATGAACTACATGTATTAAAGTATCTGGAAAGGGAAGCAAAGAAGTACAGTTTAAGATGCAGCGCTATGTGCACTGCTGTATCAATCCAGATAGCTGTTTTGTGTCAGGGCTCAATTATATGGCTCAGTGTGGTAGACCTGGCCTCTGAATTGGTCTTGGATTTTGTGTTTGTAAATTACTGCCCAAAGCATGACCAGACTTGGTATACTCTTATAATTAAAATAATAAATTGGTTTATTCTCTTTTCCCAGTGCCCATTCTGTGGAGTAAAATAAATGTGGAAATCTGCAATATCACTTAAATAACATTTTTATCAGGTTGCAGACACATTTTTTGCTTCCCTTCATTTTCTTGATTATCACAGATGTGACATTAACTGTTTAAATTAATCTGATTTTTTAAAAATACCTTAATGTAGAAAAGATATGTTATTTTCAAATATTTGCCAAGTGCAATCAGAATATTTTGTATCAAATTTTAATGGATTTATGATTTCTTTTTGTTTGAAGACCATTCGGGGTATCAAAGGAAAGAGCAGGAATTTCTAGATGCTTTGCTACTGAGACAGTAACTTTGAGAGCCAGAATGGTGGATCAGATACTGTATTTCTAATGATTGCTAACAAGACAACAATTGATGATTTCTTTCCAGACGGAAAAGAATATGATGCATTTGTGTCATACCTGAAAGACTGTGTTTCTCCTACTGAAGAAGAGAGAGAATTTGCTTTGAAGATATTACCCATGGTATTAGAAGAAAACTTTGGGTACAAGTTATGTATATTTGAGAGGGATGTATCCCCTGGAGGAGGTAAGTGTATTGAATATTTTTGTCATTAAATAGGCACATCATTTTCACACAAAGGTAGAATTCTGTAATTAGAAGGAATTCTGTCAAATGTGTTGTGTGTTGAAATGCTACATTTTTCATTTAATCTAGACTATGTGCCTGCAAAGTTAGCATGCACACATTTTACATATTTTACAGATATATTTATGGATTTGTGTACAGCTGCACACATACACACACATCTTTAATTACACAGAACCAAAATGAACAGATGAAAAAGTAGCATGGAGAAAGTTAGAGTGAAGAAAGAAGATATCAGATGTTTCACAGTACTTGTGCTCTTGCTGTGCTTTTGCTGAAAGCAGGTGCCTATGAATTAATTCATATTTGCCGCACAGAGTGGCTGGTGTCTCTGGTGCTAGTTATTCTCAGGCAACTTGTATGTTTGCTGTTTCTTCAGTGTGGTGGTGGTTGAAACAATTTTTTTTAATGTAATGGGTGTCATAACAAAATAGAAATGAGAACATGGAATTTTGTTTCTCTAAATGGCCTATGGATAGATGGTCTTTTGCAGATGCTTGGAAAAAAAGATACTGGTGGATTCCATTTAGTCCAGAGATTTAACTGAGGAATAGGATTTCATTGCTAAAAACACAGAACAATAAGGTCAGCCAGCCTCCTTCACAAGGCAGTCTCTTGTCTCCTTGTATCCATTCCTGACATATTTTTCTAACCTGAGAGGTGCCACAGTTCTCCCAAGCCATTTTTTTTAGTTATTCTTTCTCCCTAAGTATTAAAAAGCCTCTCTGAAGTGTTTGATCTGATTCTTTCAATAGTTTTAGCTTATTTCCTTGCAATAGTTTTAGTTTATTTTTCTCTGGTCTGATCTGATAGTGAAAACAGAGTATTTCCTTCTATTTACAGGAGCCTTTGGTGTGTTGTAATACCATTGTCAGCCTCCTTCTCCTCTAAGTTTTCTCTTCTTTAGTTTACTCTTGCAGTTTACTTTGCCTTTCCCTACAAGGCATGTTCTGTAGATCTCTGATCAATGTAGACCTTGGCCCATGGTGCTGAAGAGAGCACAGGAAGTTGTGCATGAGTATTCAATTTGGTGCATGGGTGTTTGAAGGGTATGAGCATTCATTCATTGCTTGTCATGACAAAAGTCATGGATCTAAAACACAGTTGGAACTCATTCTGTCATCACACGCTAATCTTCTCAAACTTGGATTACTGGCAATAAGTTGGGATATTCAGTGACGTAAAGGAAGGAGTAACCTGAGGATTACTGAGTATTTGGAGAGAGGTTGTTGTTGTTGTTGTTGACTTTCTGTGGAATCACTCCAGTGGTATCTATTATTAAAGAGCAAGAGATGTCTGCTTGGAGGAAGAATAAATTTTACTGTCACCTTCTATCTCTGTGACTACTGACAGACAGCTGTCTAAGGTAGCTGGAGATCATATGTAGTTTTTTGTCTGCCCCAGAGAACAAGCTTTGGCCATATCTGAGCTCATTTTCACAGACCCTTAATCTATAATGTGTGTCCAAAGAAGGGCAGTGAAGTTAGTGAAGGGTCTAGAGCACAAGTCCTGTGAGGAGCAGCTGAGGGAATTGGGGCTGTTTAGCCTGGTGAAAAGGAGGCTCAGGAGACCTTATCATTCTCTACAGCTACCTGAAAGGAGGTTGTAGTGAGGTGGATGTCAGTCTCTTCTCCAAAGTAACAAGTGATGGAACAACAGGAAATGGACTCAAGTTGTGTCAGGGGAGTTTTAGATTGGATATTAAGAAAACTTTCTTCACCAAAAGGGTTATCAAGCATTGGAACAAGCTGCCCAGGGGAGTGGTTGAGTCACCATCCCTGTAGATATTTAAAAGTCATGTAGATGTGCTTAGGGATGTGGTTTAGTGGTGAACTTGGCAGTGCTAGATTAACAGTTGGACTTGATGATCTTAAAGGGCTTTTCCAACCTAAATGATTCTATTATTCTATCTTAATCTCTTCATAGGGACAGGATGCTTACATGCTGTTACTTTATAAGGGGAACATTTTTGGTGTATGTGTGATTGTTAAAGGATAAAACAATTCAATGCCTATCCTTTCAATTTAGCTTAATAACAAATTTATCTTTAATTTGCAGCAGTTGTTGATGATATCCATTCATTCATTGACAAAAGCCGAAGACTAATTATTATACTGAGCCAGAACTACGTTTCTGACAGAGCCATATATGAACTTGAGAGTGGACTGCATAAAGCCCTAGTTGAAAGAAAAACTAAGATCATATTAATTGAATATATGCCTATAAGTGACTATGATTTCTTGCCAGAATCATTGTCTCTTTTACCATCAAAGAGGGTTGTGAAGTGGAAAAAGGATAAATCTCTTCCCATGAATTCCAGATTTTGGAAGAACCTTCGGTACCTGATGCCAGCAAAACCTACCAAGATGAACACCAAAGGGCACTATAATAATCTTGACCTAGGCTCAGAAGGGACTCCACAATGGACTGAAGGCTGTGACTTTAATGCAGTTGTATAACAATTCTGGAGACAGAAGATGCCGCAGAAAACTGCATTTTGCTAACTAATAGAAAACACAACCTGCACTCTTTGGGAAGATAGTGTTCATAAGAGACCAAGTCTGAGATCTGAGAATAATGTAGAATTTATTACAGTGGCTAGGATGAAGTTAACGCCAATGCTAAATGCTGTCACAGAGAGAACTTCCTCAGCAATCTTCACAAGGAGCAGAAATTTCATTCTGCTTGGTATTTACCACATGGCACGAAGCACAATGCAAAACATTTTGTTTTCACATTTTCCAGTAATGTAGAATGATATTAGTTATACTTGCACACTTTTTGAGGCCCTCAATAAATATAACCGTATTTGCAAAGTATTATTATTTAAAGGCTCTTGGGTTTGTATTTTGGTATTTCCTAAGGGTTCTGCTTGGGAGTAGACTGAAACGCTCCTGATGAGTTAGCTTGGCATGCAGGCTTTGGGCAATGTCAAGCAGGAAAATCAAGTGAAAATAGGGAAAAGTGAGGTTAGAAAGAGTAGGTTAGGTATGGTCACGCTAACAGTATTCACTACTGAGTTGTATGTGGTCTAGATGAGCCAAGTGGGAGTGATTTGGAGGAATGATAAAGACTTTCCATCCTCCTGTTTCGCTGAGAATACTGTAAATGCTCATTTTGACAGGGAGAAGAGGGGGATAGGATAGAGATAATAGTATTTTTTTTTATGGACACTGATACCTACATTATACCCTGACCTGCCTTCAGCTGAGGGATATAGGGGATTTACTTGAAAATGAGATCTTTAGTATATACATGTACTCCTAACACTTGTACTTACTATTTTTTAAAACAAACTTAGTAATGCCATTCAAACCCATACCCTCCCTTACCATTAGCTGCCTGGCAGAAAATACCAATCTGATATAAATACCTGGATAAAATGGAACTATATTTCCTCCTAATACCAGTGGGGAGAAATCAGTGGAGAAGCTTTTGGAAGATCTGTCAGTTTGCTAGGAGACCATCAAGAGTCAACCCACTCACATCATTGTCTTGCATTCAACTAATGCTAATTCTTAGGACACATCTCTTTGATACTGACAATTCATGCAGCTATAGTCGAGGAGCTCCGTTACCTTCTCAGTGCACTTGAGAACATAATTGGAGTGCTGGGTGTCATGGCAATGTCTCAGGATTCATGAGAATGAAATACCTTGTTGTTTGTCAATTATTTTGTAATCAAGAATAGTTTCTGACATATATTCAGGTAAAAGTGAAGGCTAAATCTGACTTTACAATATGGAGACAACACAGTTGCCAGGTTAACCTGCAGATGAAAAGGAACAAAAGAAGGCAGAACACATCCGTGGTGTCCTTCAGATCAGCTCCAAGAGGTCTTCCTCCTTCTGTCAGGCAACTAAAGAGCTACTGAAATGTTATACTTTAGACAAAAGACATTTAAGCTTCTATTGAAGAGTATTTCTGCTTTGTAGATATGTATGTCTTTACATTTCCAAATCTTTCTCAAGATTCAGTTCTTCCGTACCAGTGTTTCCTGTGATTTGTAATCACAGATCAGTTTTAACATTCTCCTGCAGGACTAATGATTACCCCTACTTCAGAAATGCCATTAGGCATACTGGGCACATCCATTTCTTGGCCGAATAGCTTGTAGAAAAGTTAGTAACTTTCCTGGTACTTATCTGAGGTGTTAAACTTGCTCCTCAGCCACATAGTTTTTCATATGGTCTCATCAGTGTATTGCCTAACATGAAGTGTCAAATGTGTTATACTACGCATGTGAATACAGATAGTGCACATGTTAAAAGCTTTGGACTGACCCTACCCTTTATGAGAATTTAGCTATTATAAATTGAGATTGAATTTACCATGAACAACCCCTCACCTCAGCTTGGAGAAATGTGACTGCATGTACCTGCTGTACCTCATGGACCTGTACCCTTAAGATTGTGAGACCATACAGAGTTTGACAGCACTGTTGTTTTGCAGAATAACAGAGAACTGTATATAAGAAAGGTTGAAAGCTAAATGGCATTAACTTCAAAGTTGTTTGAGTGACAGCAAAACAGACATTCAAATGTAATACAATGAACTACTCAGTATTTTTGAAAAGGGCAAGTATTTTTGCACAGAACAGTATTGTGACACAGTCATTTAATCTCTATAGCTGATCCTCACTGCCCATGCAGCGGTAAAGGGAGACAAGGGAAATTAAGGGTACGCATCCTCATATTAACACCAGATGTTCTTCTTATTGCTCTTATAACCTGACTTTAATCAGGGCTTTGAAATGCCTGCTTTCTGTTACCACTCCCTAGAGGAATGATAATATGACTTTTATAGACTAGTTGTGTTGATTTGTCTGACCATGTATATGTCAATTTATAAGTGAATCCACATGATAGCTGGTTTGAGGTAACGGGTAATTTCAGTGATTTATATTGCATTTTTTTTTGTTTCATTTTTGCACTTAATAAAACTTATTTCCCTCTTTCCACATCTGTGGCTTCCATTTTTACTGCAGTTAGTCAGCAGTAAGTGTCAAAAATTAAACTTACAATAACAAGAAAAAATGCAAGAAGAAGCAAGAGTGGTTAAACCTGCCCTCCACAAGCAATAAATATCTCATTTGTACTGTAGAACAATTTAAACAAAGCCAAATCCAAACAAGTGATTGGAATATGTAATTTCCCAGAGGAGGATGCAGATGGGATCAGTCAGGAGACAGCTGTTCTAAGTCACCAGTCTTGAAAATTCTTGCCTCTTTTGCATGTACTACAACATAGTACTGACTGTGAGTATAATCTGTGTCTGCATTTTTTTAGTGTTCCTAGTTGCCCACTTTCTACCACACACAATGCAGACTAGAATAAAAAGAATATCAAAGAAGTCTTCTTGTCTATCGATAGTTTGAACATAAATGTTGGGATGAGTTGGGACTACTGTATATAGTATCAGTACTAAGGTGTAGTACCATATAAGGGCTTGAAAATGTAGAGGTCATGGAGATAGGGGAATGTCCCAGAAGACTGGAAGAAGGCTAATGTTACCACCATCTACAAGAGGGATTAAAGGAGGACCCAGGAAATTACTGGCCCATCAGCCTTACTTCAACCCATAGGGAAGTTATGGAACAAATCCTCCTGGGGGCTATCACAAGTCAAATGAAGCATGTGACTGGAAAAAAACAGCATGGACTCACCAAGCGCAAAACATGCTTAACATACCTAATGTCTTCTACAACAAAGTAATCTGCTCAATTGATGTGGGCAAGTGGTGGACATTGTCTACCTAGATTTCTCCAAGGCTTTCGATAGGGTTCCTCACAGCCTCCTCCTAGAGAAACTGATGACTTACAGTCTGATGTGCACGGTGGGTGGGGAACAGACAGCACCCAGAGCATGGTGGTAAATAGCTCCTTTTCAAACTGGCAACATGTCACAAGTGACATCCCCCAGGGATTGATATTGGGCCTAACGCTATTTAATATCTTGATAAGTGAACTGGATGATGGGATCAAGCGTACCCTGATAAAATATGATGATGATACCAAACTGAGTGGGGAAGTGGACATTTCGGAAGGAAGAGCCACTCTGCAGGAAGACCTGGATAGACTGAAGGCATGGGCTAACAGGAACTTTATGAGGTTCAACAAGGACAAGTGTAAAGTCTTGCACCTGGGAAAACATAATCCAGGCGTGCCGCACAGACTGGGATCTACTTGCCTGGGGAGCAGCTCTGTGGAAAGGGACATGAGGGTCCGGTGGACAACAAGCTCCATATGAGTGAACTGTGTGCTGCAGCAGCAAAAAAAGCTAACAGGATTCTGGGTTTCATCATCAAGGGCATCACCCACCAGCAGAGATAAAGAAGTCATTATCCCACCCTAGACAGCGCTTGTCAGGCCACACCTGGAATACTGTGTTCAGTTTTGGTCCCCGCTACACAAAAAAGATGTGGACAGGCTGGAGAGGGTCCAGAGGAGGGCCACAAAGACGATCAAGGGACTGGGAAACCTGCCATGTGAGGAAAGGCTGAGAGAACTGGGCTTGCTCAGCTTGGAGAAAAGAAGGCTATGGGGAGACCTTATCACCATGTTCCAGTACTTAAGGTGTGGCTACAAAGAAGATGGAGACTCCCTTTTTACAAGGGGTCATATGGAAAAGACAAGGGGTAATGGGTACAAGTTACTCCTGGGGAAATTCTGATTGGACACAAGAGGAAAATTTTTCACAATGAGAACAATCAGCCCCTGGAATAATCTCCCCAGTTGGATTCCCCAACATTGGACACTTTGAAGATTCAGCTGGACAGGGTGCTAAGCCACCTTGTTTAAACTGTGATTTTGCCAAGAAAGGTTGGACCAGATGATACTTGAGGTCCCTTCCAATCTGGTATTCTACGATTCTATGTTTCTGTGAAGGTTTGGTAATTATAGTTGTCCATGTGCCCTGTCCTGTGTGTCCACCTTCAGTGTCTGCACCAATTCTGGATAGGTTCTTTGAGTGAAGGGGTCCCTCCAAATGGACACACTGTCTAGATCCATACATATAATTTCTTCCTACTATAAGCTCTTCTATTCCTCCATTACCATCTGCATTCTTTACAGAGATATGAGGAGAGGTCAAACTTGTGAAACAGGAGTAAATGACTCCATATCCAGGCTTAAGGACAAATCTTACCTCTTTCACCACTCTAGGCTGTAAAGAGATCAGGAGATTTGCAGAAGGGCTGGAGGACAGAGAGAACTGTCAGATTTGCTGGTTATGTTGAAGGGCAACTGAAGATGCTTGCACAAGCAAGTTGTTGGCACTGTGTTTACCGAACTAGAAGTTAAACATAACTGTTGCAGTCAGCACAAAAAGGAGAGCTCCAACAGGGAGGCACCTTGGGCACATGACAACTGTGTAGAGCAAGGTTATATTGTATGCTGGACGTGTCAGACCTAAAGGAAGTACGCAGCTGATTTGCGCAAGATGGTCCAAAATTCTATGTGTTTCACCCAGAAGTCAGTAACTTGATGCCTCAAGTCATTAAATGTTGTTCAAAAATGCCAAGAAAAAAAAAAGATCACCAGGTATAAAAGATAGATGTGTGAGTATGGCCTGGAAAGTTACTCTAGAACTGTGGTTATATATTAGAGTTGTTCTTTTCTATCTTGATTTCTCAGAGAAAGTAAAAAAAAAAAAAAAAGGCTTTCTTTTTAGAGATGACTATGGTCTGGCTTGCACAGAAGAGGTAACTTTTACATCATTAAATCCTAAATATATTTAATAAAATGTTATAAATGTTGCCTTTCCTAGTGCGATGCTTGTGATGTAGTTGAAAAGTATTCAGTGTTTTGAAAAAGAAAATGTGATTGCATTTTTGGGAAATAGTTTTCTGACTTGGTAGCTATAATTAGATAAAGTGCCTGAGTGAAATAGTAGTTACTAAGCTTTCTGCAGCAGCCACAAGTTACGTAAAATACAAAATGGAAAAAAGGCTCCACAAGAATCTATTTCAGTTTTGATCAACTCATGACAGCTTCCTGTGGTTCAACAATCCAAATTTCCTGAACTTCAGGGAAAGCAGCTGCAGATAGACCACAATAGTCTCATTATTTAGTTTCATTGTCAGCTAAATATATAAAGAACTCATCATAGAGATTTGTTTCATATTGCATTGTTTGATGCTCCATCTGGCCTCTATTGGTGAGATACAGTATGTACATCAGCAAGAAATATCACAGTGCAGTGTAACATATTTGTTTTTTATTACCTATCAAATACAAAAACAATTGAGTTCAGTACACTTACGGCTTAAGGTATTTCTGAAAGATAATTAAACAGATTCAGAGCTTATTGCTTTAATTCTTTTGACCACTACCATAGTTAAGCCAATTTCAGTCATGTGCTGGAGACCTCATTTCAGTGTGCGGTTACAAAACTGTTTACTATGCATTGCAGGGAAATTGTAGCTGTTTGAGGTTTTTTGACTATGGTGAAGGAATGCTGTTCCATAAGAGGTTCTAAAACTGTTTGTAATGTCTTATGAATCTGACTTTTTAGAAACAATTAGGCAAATTCAGAAGTGACTCTGTCTGTTTGTGAAGACCCTAAATATTCAGCTCAGCTGTCATAGAAATGTCTTTATCTGTGTATAGTGGCTTAATATATAGTATATTAAGCATATCTGTTTATGTGTTACTTAAGGAAGCCTTCGGGAACTAGCAGCAAAAATTCAGCTAGAAGGAAGGAACACATACTTCGGAAATTAAAACTTTTGAGAACATCGAGATTGTTGCCAACTGACAGCATGATGAAGGAAATTCAAATAATACAGTACAAACACCAGTGAAATGCTGCCAGTGAAGTGAGACCTTGACACCTGCAAGGCAGAGCCATGAGGACCACCAGGAGAACTGTGTGAAGGGATCCTAGAGGAGTTTAAATTGCTTAGGCTGGTAAAATGAATAGCAAAAGGAGTAGAAGCATTGTCAACAAATGCATACAGAAGAAAAAGCACTAGAAAGAAGAGCTGTTTAAGCTAAGGAATGGTATTCACACAAGGGCACATGCCCATGAATAAATTTATAATGGACATTAAGAACAGTAAGGTCTCATATGGGAGTAACAGGGAAACTGTTCTGACCTACT